CTCCCAGCTAGCTCCGGTTTGTTATTCAGGTTAAAGTGTGAAGAAGCAGCGGGTCTGTGGGGCAGCTGAGTGAAGTGGAGCCTGAGGAGGAAGCACCGGTTAGCCCCGGTTTCACTACAGGCAGATTCACTCGCTACAGGGGCGAGGAAATAAAACCTGAACAGCCAATCAGAGTGATCTCTCTCACCGACAAGCGTGTGTGTGAATGTGACTCGTAGTGTAAAAAGTACTTCGAGTGGTCGGATGACTAGAAAGCAGCCATACAAACACAGGTCAGTTTCGGATTTACTTGCGACTGTGTTAACTGGCGACTTTCAGCTGAATGCGTCTGTGGTTTTAATCGCCTTAATGCTACAACATAAATAGATAATTTATCTTAGAGATAAATCTGTTACACAGTTGCTGCTTTATTGCTTAATTTAAAATAAAGTATTTCCAGGTGAGTATATGAATATTGTCTTTATCGACCTGTAGCACAACAGTAAACGTTAGGTTTATGAATTAAGTCGGTTTAAACCGCTGCTTTTTGTATTGAAAGCAGTGAGATTGTAAAATGTTCCTCAGTACATGGACTGTGTGGTCACAAGTTGATCTGGCTGCCTCCCAGTTTGAAGACACAACTGGCTGTATGTTGTCGGTGTATCTGTATCTGTGGTGGAGTTGCAATAGTGGCGCATCACGTTAATTGTGCGCCTATGTTCCCATGATGGAGCGGGTTTGAATCCCGTGAAAATGTTCTTTTTTACGTTTCACAGGGCTGAACGGTTCTTTAATATGGCACATGTTTATTTAGACAGGCACCAGAGACCAAACTGTGTAAGCCTATTTAGAACATTTTTGAGAGATAAGAGTTAAATTTACAGGAAAAGCAACTTGGCCTCTTCCTGTTTTCAACATTCCGTCATAACAAGTGTGATTCAAACTGTGACTGAGTGTTGGTCCGTGACTGGGTTCCTCCAACAAGAGTCCAAAGACAGATCAGGTCAGCTATGTTTTGATATTGTTCTGAAAAATGGAATAAAGAGGCGTCGCGAGGACAGCTACATGTTCTCTTCCTGGTTGAAAAAACAGTTGTTGTCACTACGACAACCACAGATGCATTCGGCTGAAAGTCGCCAATTAACACGGTTGCGAGTAAATCCGGAACTCAGGTCCGTTTCAATAAAGTCTCCGCACACACTGAGATTTGTCCTGACTGAAATATGAGCAGTGGAAATCTCTGCTAGGTGCTAGGCTAATTTATACAATGTAAAATGCCATAGGCTTTTGCTAATAATGTTAGCATGTTGTATTTGTTTGGAAAACGGAGAAGAGCTAATAAACAGTTGTTAGCAGCAGGTTAACGTTAGCTGTTAGCACCTAGTTAATGTTAGCTGTTAGTAGCTAGTTAATGTTAGCTGTTAGCAGCAGGTTAACGTTAGCTGTTAGCACCTAGTTAATGTTAGCTGTTAGGTATTTACTGAGCAGCTCATCTTTGGGGAACATCTTCCTGATGTGTTGCTGGATCTTGGCTGTTTGGTCCTGAACAGTGGCTCTGACGCTCACCAGTCCTCGGCCTCCCTCGTTCCTCTTAGCATACAGTCTAAGGGTGCTGGACTTAGCGTACAATCTCAGGGTGCTGGACTTAGTGTACAGTCTCAGGGTGCTGGATTTAGTGTACGGTCTCAGGGTGCTGGACTTAGTGTACAGTCTCAGGGTGCTGGACTTAGTGTACAGTCTCAGGGTGCTGGACTTAGTGTACAGTCTCAGGGTGCTGGACTTAGTGTACAGTCTCAGGGTGCTGGACTTAGTGTACAGTCTCAGGGTGCTGGACTTAGTGTACAGTCTCAGGGTGCTGGACTTAGTGTACAGTCTCAGGGTGCTGGACTTAGTGTACAGTCTCAGGGTGCTGGACTTAGTGTACAGTCTCAGGGTGCTGGACTTAGTGTACAGTCTCAGGGTGCTGGACTTAGTGTACAGTCTCAGGGTGCTGGACTTAGTGTACAGTCTCAGGGTGCTGGACTTAGTGTACAGTCTCAGGGTGCTGGACTTAGTGTACAGTCTCAGGGTGCTGGACTTAGTGTACAGTCTCAGGGTGCTGGACTTAGTGTACAGTCTCAGGGTGCTGGACTTAGTGTACAGTCTCAGGGTGCTGGACTTAGTGTACAGTCTCAGGGTGCTGGACTTAGTGTACAGTCTCAGGGTGCTGGACTTAGTGTACAGTCTCAGGGTGCTGGACTTAGTGTACAGTCTCAGGGTGCTGGACTTAGTGTACAGTCTCAGGGTGCTGGACTTAGTGTACAGTCTCAGGGTGCTGGACTTAGTGTACAGTCTCAGGGTGCTGGACTTAGTGTACAGTCTCAGGGTGCTGGACTTAGTGTACAGTCTCAGGGTGCTGGACTTAGTGTACAGTCTCAGGGTGCTGGACTTAGTGTACAGTCTCAGGGTGCTGGACTTAGTGTACAGTCTCAGGGTGCTGGACTTAGTGTACAGTCTCAGGGTGCTGGACTTAGTGTACAGTCTCAGGGTGCTGGACTTAGTGTACAGTCTCAGGGTGCTGGACTTAGTGTACAGTCTCAGGGTGCTGGACTTAGTGTACAGTCTCAGGGTGCTGGACTTAGTGTACAGTCTCAGGGTGCTGGACTTAGTGTACAGTCTCAGGGTGCTGGACTTAGTGTACAGTCTCAGGGTGCTGGACTTAGTGTACAGTCTCAGGGTGCTGGACTTAGTGTACAGTCTCAGGGTGCTGGACTTAGTGTACAGTCTCAGGGTGCTGGACTTAGTGTACAGTCTCAGGGTGCTGGACTTAGTGTACAGTCTCAGGGTGCTGGACTTAGTGTACAGTCTCAGGGTGCTGGACTTAGTGTACAGTCTCAGGGTGCTGGACTTAGTGTACAGTCTCAGGGTGCTGGACTTAGTGTACAGTCTCAGGGTGCTGGACTTAGTGTACAGTCTCAGGGTGCTGGACTTAGTGTACAGTCTCAGGGTGCTGGACTTAGTGTACAGTCTCAGGGTGCTGGACTTAGTGTACAGTCTCAGGGTGCTGGACTTAGTGTACAGTCTCAGGGTGCTGGACTTAGTGTACAGTCTCAGGGTGCTGGACTTAGTGTACAGTCTCAGGGTGCTGGACTTAGTGTACAGTCTCAGGGTGCTGGACTTAGTGTACAGTCTCAGGGTGCTGGACTTAGTGTACAGTCTCAGGGTGCTGGACTTAGTGTACAGTCTCAGGGTGCTGGACTTAGTGTACAGTCTCAGGGTGCTGGACTTAGTGTACAGTCTCAGGGTGCTGGACTTAGTGTACAGTCTCAGGGTGCTGGACTTAGTGTACAGTCTCAGGGTGCTGGACTTAGTGTACAGTCTCAGGGTGCTGGACTTAGTGTACAGTCTCAGGGTGCTGGACTTAGTGTACAGTCTCAGGGTGCTGGACTTAGTGTACAGTCTCAGGGTGCTGGACTTAGTGTATAGTCTCAGGGTGCTGGACTTAGTGTACAGTCTCAGGGTGCTGGACTTAGTCTAAGTCTCAGGGTGCTGGACTTAGTGTACAGTTTCGGGGTGCTGGACTTACTGTACAATCTCAGGGTGCTGGACTTACTGTACTGTCTCAGGGTGCTGGACTTACTGTACAGTCTCAGGGTGCCGGACTTAGTGTACAGTCTCAGGGTGCTGGACTTAGTGTACAGTCTCAGGGTGCCGGACTTAGTGTACAGTCTCAGGGTGCTGGACTTAGTGTACAGTCTCAGGGTGCCGGACTTAGTGTACAGTCTCAGGGTGCTGGACTTAGTGTACAGTCTCAGTCAGCTGATGGCTTGCTCACCGCCAGACACAACCACCGGTGCTATCGGCCAGTGGGATGGCGCGATCAGCAGAGCCCAGGTTGACCGGCCCCTACATTATGCTGCTCCTGTCAGTATGGCGAGAGTCATCGGCGAGTGAGAAATGAGCCAGAATTCCTCTGCGTATTCGGCCTACCACGGCATTTTACACCGCTCAAAGTCCGCGAAATAGGTGCGCTTCCCTGTGGAATATCATCCATCCGGCCACCGGCCTCACCTCAGAGATTCCGCCATGGATATCAAGGGATCCTACAGAGCCTCCACGCCCAAAACAACGCCGGAGCATTACGGCATTCACCCACGGTCCCGTGAGTTGGCACAAGCCGGGGGTTACTTTCCGTTTCATTATTCCTTATTTGGAACCTTCGGGACGGGTTGAATTAATGTTTTAAAACTGAGCTGAGTCAGAGCAAACAGTGGATTTTCTTTACCTCCTTGCTTTCAGGAAAACCTGGGGTGGAGTTTTCTTTTGTTTAGCGAACTGTGTGGATTGAACTGAATTGAACTGTGATATGTTATTTGGAAATCCTGGAGTGCTGTTTTTTGTTTGAACTGGATTCAACATTTCTTTTCTTTGGTGGAAAAAAATATTTACATTCTTGAAACTGATTACAGTTGTATTTGTATTTTTGAAAATTGAGTATAATTCTTTTGTTCTACAGAGACCAGGTAAAATCATTTTCATTTTGGTGTTGAGGGACCTGTTTTATGGGTTTCATGGTTTCTTTGTGGGGTTTGACTGAGGAAAAGAAAAATATTTGTTTCATGTGTCAAACCGCTACAAAAGATAGAGGCCTATTTTGTTTATTGAAGACAAGAAGAAGATATTGACTTGGTTTACATTTTATGCTGCTGAACCACCGATAAGCTTTTTGGATACTATTTAAATTAAAAAAAAATCTTATGGGACAACTTGGATGCATTATTTTTTTTTCTTGTTAATGCTTTGCTAAGTATCAGATCGGACTCGGTTTCAAAATAAAATGTGATCGGGACATCCCTAGTGTACAGTCTCAGGGTCTTAGGACTTTCCGTCCCCGGGTCGTCCACTCTGGATTCTTTATGACGGCAGAGTATGCTGCCATCTTGTTTTTACCTGGATTTGTTTGTTGTGCAGATTATCTTTGCACATGTCCACTGATGGAAACCTTGTCATGACTTATTCTAGATAGCCAAGTTTGACCATCATCTCGGCGCTCCGTAAAGGCTGCTAGGTGGGCAAAAAAGTGTCCACAAACTAGGACAACAAGTCTGAGTTTAGTAGAATGAATTATAAGGTCAAGTAAAGCCACAATGTGACGTCCTCATGTAAGGGCCCAGGGTTTCAGGCGGACATGCTCGGCACAAAGTCAAACACGTTTTCAGTGAGTGTTGGCCTCCACCAGTGTTGTCTCTTGTAGTGTTGCAGGGTATACTGGTACCAAAGGTAGACCGCGGTACTAAACCACCACAGTACATATGATACCATAATGTTGGAGCACCGTAGTGCTACAGTACCTCATGGAACCACTACTATGGGATAAGTTCAGAGTCCAATCACAATCGGGTGAGTGTCCATGCGCCGTCCAATAACGGCGTGTGCTGGCCACCTGGCACTCAACATGCTGCTGCAGTGGTTTGTTTTCCAGTGACATGTCAGGTATTAGCTGAGCTATTGAGTTACTATTTATTTCTTTTTACTTGTAGGTTAGATTTGTTTATACATGCTACAGTGGTTTGTTTTCCACAGAGCTCTACGGTGCGAGCATTTTACTCGCATTTGCCACTAAAAATAGTTTTGTGGGAGCAAAAGAAATCTTTCAGGTGCACGCTGTGCGAGTACAGATTTCAACCTGCAGCAGAAACGAAAGGCGAATCCTGCTGGTTGTGGGTTGAACGGGGGTCACAGACAGGAATACGTATTCCTGTCAAATACGGTGGCCATAGTGCTCAGTGACCCAAGATAACGGCTTACCAGCGACCGAGAAGCCCGACTCACATTTCTCTCTTTGTGGCAGGTAACGGCCCACAAACCTCACCGCACGTTAGGGATTGTTCTTTACTTATGAAGGGACTGTTCTTTACTTGTCAGGGGAGGAGGGTGGCTGGTTGATTTACACTGAACAAAAATATAAACACAACACTTTTGGGTTTTAACCAACTTGAGTGGGCAAATGCTCACATTCGATGGCGTCTGGCACGTTGGAGAGGTGTTCTCTTCACGGATTAATCCCGGTTTTCACTGTTCAGGGCAGATGGCAGACAGCGTGTGTGGCGTCATGTGTGTGAGCGGTTTGCTGATGTCAACGTTGTGGATCGAGTGGCCCATGGTGGCGGTGGGGTTATGGTATGGGCAGGTGTATGTTATGGACAACGAACACAGGTGCATTTTATTGATGTCATTTTGAATGCACAGAGATACCGTGACGAGATCCTGAGGCCCATTGTTGTGCCATTCATCCACGACCATCACCTCATGTTGCAGCATGATAATGCACGGCCCCATGTTGCAAGGATCTGTACACAATTCCTGGAAGCTGAAAACATCCCAGTTCTTGCATGGCCAGCAT